CACGACGTGTGGTTTATTAATGTCTTGAGTGTGTGTAGTGAGGAATACAGCTTCTCTCCCGGACACTGTGTGTCTGCAACGTCTCTGTGTCCCAAAATCACGAAGTCGGGCTGTAAATATCCCTTGGCCACTCCATGCTGGATCAAAGCACACAGGGATGACAGAGCCTGCAAGCTCGGCGCCTCATCTGACAGGAGGGAAATCACACCGATACATCGACTGAATGCTAAATCAAGATTAAACATGTGTCATTGTGCCAGATTTGTGCGCTTACCGTTAAAGTTGCCCATAAAAGCAACACCGACCGAGGTATGGTTATGTGTTTTTGCGTGCGCTCCTACGATGCCCCAGCCACGGCCTTCATACACCACACCAGCCTGGTCCACCAAAAAGCTGAACATGCAAAATGAACAGTTTTCTTCGAATCCCAGCATTCAGTTGTAATGATCGCAGCACTTTAGAACAACCCGAGACACGCACTGCGCTCCGCAGATTATTTACAGACAACAGGAACAAGAACAAATAAAATGACACATCGCAGGAAGGTTAACCATAACAATATTCACGGACTTGTAGCCGATGTCTGCGAAGCTGCGCTCGTGGATGTGTGCTTGCTGAATGTGTATTAGCTGAGCGATGCTCTGCGTGCGACTCCAGCAGCTCCACAGTGCCGTGTGATGGATAATAAGCTTATCAGCAGCTTCATGTAATCGTTCTCTCGTCTGAACATCCACGGCCTTCCACGCACTGCGGGGGATCACCGTCACTGCACACAAGAGAGACGGGTCAACAACAGCCGAGCCCTCATACCAGTAAACGTGTACGTATATCAACGGATTCTTTTAAACCATCTCTAAACGTGCCACATTCCAGCACGTAACCGAGAAGATATGATCGATTGCATTACAATAATGAATGAAAATAAACCTATCACCTGTACTAATTAATAATTAATTAATAGTTCAGAGTTCTGTACAAATAATCACAGCTAAAGCCTTCAATACTGATTCATCAGTTTCCAAATATCTAACACACACACACACACACACACATATATATATATATATATATTAGGGATGTCACGAGAACTGATACCTCGGTACCAACATTCTTAAAACGTGACGGTACTTGTTTTTCTGGAGAAGTGTTGGAACTGGTTCTAATGAAGGTACAGAGGTTGCCATTCTTCCAGACCTGATGGGTGCAGCAAATACGGACAAGTGTTTTAGTCGGTCCACAAGTGGTGAAGAAGAAGAACAACAACTACAAGCACATGGGAAAAGTTTAGCTCCACCGCGACTGGTTGACAGAAAAGGTGGTATGGAATATGGAAATACTTTGCATTCGTGGTGGATGACAACAAACATATAATTGATGCTCTGAAGCCGGTGTGCAACCGATGCTATCGTTCGTTTCAAACAAAGCGAGGAAACACCTGGAATTTCTCGAAGCACCTGAAAGACGGGTCCTATATTATGTTTGTTTGAGGCAGCTGTTACTGTTGCCGTGAAACCAACTAACGTTATGCTCCATGTAATGTTTGCGATAGCCAGTTATTTGTCAACGACGCTAACGCATTGCAATGTTATAAACTACCTCCTAATGGGCCACCATGCATCGCCATTCAGCCCGTGTCCTGTCAGCTACATGTAGCTTAATGTCACTAATAATTATTCAAATGTTAATGGTGTTAATAAATCTTATTGGCCTGCCACCATATCAGTGAATTTAATCTAATGCTTGCATTCAGAGTATAAGTGTGTATGTGTGTGTGTGTGTGTGTGTGTGTGTGTGCATGCATGCTCTTTCAGGAGTGCTACACCTCCACTGTAGCCTCCACTCATTGTCAGACAGTGTTCGATACTAAAATCTCTCTCTCTCTTTGCCAGTATCAGACAGAGGAGGATGTCCTCCAGGAGAGTTTTTAATTATCATACCACCCCGTGGTATCGACTTTGGTATCGAGTATCGTATACTTTTGGTTGTATCGGTACCGACTCCTAGATTTTTGCTATCGTGACATCCCTAATATACACACACACACACACACACACACATAATACAATATTATACATAAAACACTAAACTCTAATAAAATTATTAAAATTATTCATGTAGTTTGGGCACCAGGATTATCAATCCAATAGTTTATGAGCCTAGAGTTTAATGCCACTTGACTACAGAACCTTGTAATTGTATAATCCATTATGGCTCCTTATATTTCTACAGAAAGAAAAGTCCAATATTTACTTTTCCCCTCAGAGAACTTACTGTATTGTTTTATGCAGCAGGTATTAATTTACCAAACGATGACAAGTTATACTAATAATAATGACATACAATTCGATTTTTATTGTTATTTCCCAAGTTAAAAGCGCTTGATAGTGAGGTAAACTTTATTAAAAACAGATGAACTGTGGGTGTGACTTCACTTCCTGCTAGCCAGCCGAAAAACTGCTGACGTCACTGCTGCAAACTTCACGTGCTGTCAATTCTTCGTGTCGTTGATTGCCTAGCAACTGATTTAAATTTTTTCGAACTTATTTAATTGCGATTTTTCGAACAATACTTACGATTCTGCTTCACATCAAAAACGCTGTTAACTAATACATACACTGTTAAACACCACAGAGACAGAGAGAGAGAGAGACAGAGAGAGAGAGACAGAGAGAGAGAGACAGAGAGAGAGAGACAGAGAGACAGAGAGAGAGAGACAGAGAGAGAGAGACAGAGAGAGAGAGAGAGAGAGAGAGAGAGAGAGAGAGAGAGAGAGAGAGAGAGAGAGAGAGAGAGAGAGAGACAGAGAGAGAGAGAGAGAGAGAGAGAGAGAGACTCAATATATGCACTACCCGTGGAGAAATTGAAATAAAATCCAGTGTTTAGTCTGTCTTACCTGTACTGTATCCAGCTGCTCCTGTCATGTCTCGCTCTCTCTCTGTGTGAGTATGTGCAAACATGAAAAAGGAGAACATTTAGAAATGTCAACACAGCGCAGGTGTTAAGGGCGGACACGTTTCAGCATTTCCTTGTGGAATTTCCGTGTGAGAGAGTCAGCGACTTTTTATGCCGAGAGAGAGAGAGAGAGAGACAGAGAGAGAGAGAGAGAGAGAGAGAGAGACACAGAGAGAGAGAGAGAGAGAGAGAGAGAGAGAGAGAGAGAGAGAGAGAGAGAGAGAGAGAGAGAGAGAGAGAGAGAGAGAGAGAGAGAGAGACACAGAGAGAGAGAGAGAGAGAGAGAGAGAGAGAGAGAGAGAGAGAGAGAGAGAGAGACAGAGAGAGACAGAGAGAGAGAGAAAAGAGAGAGAGAGAGAGAGACAGAGACAGAGAGAGAGAGACAGAGAGAGAGAGACAGAGAGAGAGACAGAGACAGAGAGAGAGAGAGACAGAGAGAGAGAGAGATTACAACAGTTTTGCACACAGACTGGAACTTCAGACTTAGGCGCAGGAAGGAGCTGCCACTCTGAGGACATGTAGTGTGTAATTTACACTGTGGTTACAGGAGGCATGTCCACCATCGCCTTATGTCATGCGTAATAGTTGACGCTCCATATAAGCGAAATCTGTAAACTATTAAAGCTAGTGTCGTATAGCTACAAGCACTGCAACCATCTTTATTTGTAACTGCAGCTCCGCACTGCTAACATAATAATAATAATAATAATAATAATAATAATATCCATCCATTCTCTGTACCACTTATCCGACACAGGGGACTTGGGGCACAGAGTGGGGGACACCTTCGACGGGGTGCCAACCCATCACAGGTCAAAATCACACACTATGTACAATTTGCAAACACCTAGCAACTCATGTCTTTGGACTGAGGGAGGAAACTGGAGTACCTGGAGGAAACCCCCAAAAGCATGGGCAGAGCATGCAAGCTCCACACACACAGGGCTGAGGCGGGAATCGAATCCCCAACCCCTGAGGTCTGAGGCAAACGTGCTAACCACTAAGCCACGGTGCACCCCCCCTCGCCTAATAATAATAATAATAATAATAATATGATGATGATGATGAAGAACATAAACAAACGTTTTTGAGTTTGTATGTACTCGAGTCTTCAGGACACAGGAGTTGACATTAACATGACAAGCTGTGGTTTTTGTCTCATTATCACAGAGGAAAACACACGAGGCTGCTGAGGGAATGTCTGAATTAAGCTCCAGCAGCGTAACTGAAAACAGGAACTGAGTCCTGTGCTGGGAAACTTGCTGATTGTATAAAGCGCTGACACGTCTCCCATATACGTTCAACAAACAGTAACCCCTAACAGTAAACTTCACCATATTAACCATTACCTCTACACTTCTGTTCTATAAAAACACATTTTTAATCCGTTTATTTTTATTCATCTTTGATTACGAGAGTCCGCTGTACAAGTCCCTGCGCTTGAGCTGTTATAAGAATGATAAGTCAGTGAGCACATGAGAATATTAACATGAGAATTTAACTGCACTGTGGTATAATTGTTGTACACACCTGATCATCGCACCCATATCTAGTTCTTCCCCCAAAATAATAACAATAATAATAATAATAATAATAATAATAATAATAATAATAATGATGATGAACGTCATTCCTTGCCATGTATTCTCCAACCTCATCAGGCATGATAGAAGACAGAGCTGATCTTGGCAAAGGGAAGTAGCACAAAGTATTGACAAAAGGGTGCCAATAACTGTTGCATATAGTTACATTTTTTTTTTAAATAAACCTGTATTTGTTTGAAATCCATGAGATTTTTCTTCTACCGCTTACTCCTTCTTCAGGGTCACGGGGAACCTGGAGTCTATCCCAGGAATCATCAGGCACGAGGCGGGGTACACCCTGGACAGGGTGCCAGTCCATCACAGGGCACAATCACATACACACTCACACACCCATTCATACACTACGGACACTTTAGACACGCCAATCAACCTACCATGCATGTCTTTGGACTGGGGGAGGAAACCGGAGCACCCGGAGGAAACCCCCACAGAACATGCAAACTCCGCCCCAGTGGGAATCGAACCCCGGACTCCTGGAGGCGTGAGGCGAGAGTGCTAACCACTAAACCACCAGCGCCCCTGAGAACAGAGTATTTTTGTGAATTTTTAACAAAAGATCAAAAGGTTAAACAATGAAGAGAATTTTTCACAGCCTTCTTTGCTCATATTTATCAACGGTGCCAATATTAGTGGAGGGCACTGTATATGCACATTACATATACTCCAGCCAATTTCCTGCTCATGCGTGGTGCGAGGGATCAACATTACCCTAACGATGATGAGAGAGTGTCCAGGGTATTTCTTGTCGAAAAAACACCACCAGGTGTTGTTTCCATAATGAAAGAAGGAAATGATGCGGGGATTTCTAAAGAAATAAATAAAATAAACAAAAAACAGCCTGACTGACAATATCTAACCTTAACGTAAACAGATTCATTATATACACAGTCCCCTCCGAAATGAACAAGACCAGTCCTTTTGTTTTTGCTATACACTGGACAATTTGGGTTTGAGATCAAAAGATGAATGAGACGATAAACCAGAATTTCAGCTTTCACTTCTGATATTGACATCTAGATGTACTAAAACACCTTAGAACATGGAACCTTTGGTCTGAAGCCACCCATTTTTCTAGTGATTCAAAACAAAACAAAACATTGGAACATGTGACTGACAGGTGTTTGTTGTCTCCTGTTATATTGAGTGTTTAAAAAATAAATAGGTCTGAACATCCACTCCTGGTTTTAATCTTCAGGTTCTGGGCAAATTTGTGCATTTGTTGTTCAAAAGGATAAACCAACGTGAAGATCAGGAAGTTGTCATTGAGAGAAAAACAAGACATTCCCCCCCCCCTTTTGTTTTAATTTACATGTGATTCATTTACATGTGATTCATTTACCTTTTCTCTCCTCCCCTCCCCAAATATTTAATTGAGAAGAAAAAAAAAAACAACAAAAGGAAATAATAAAAAAAAAAAAACCTTTTGTCAATTAAAATAGCGCCCCCTCTTGCTTTCGAATTAAAGTTTGAGTGGAAGACGTTTGAGATGTGTAAAAACCTTAGATCTCTGGACAGGATTACCCGTCCCTCTGCCATTCCAACTAATAAATGTTAAAGGCGTGTCTGTCCCAGCTATACTGGGATCCGTATTACTAACCGTTTAAATAAAGTAAACCATAGGAATATAAATATCCAATTAGAGCCGAAGAGGGACACACACCCAAAGTCTCCATAAAACAAGGGAGACAGCAGTGTTTCACCCCTAGGGTTGTCCACAAAGTGGACCTAGAGTACTCTAAACAAAATGACCTAAACAAAGCAAAATTCAGTAAGAGAAAAGTCCCTACTGACTTCACATCTAATAAATAATCTGCACACTTTAACAAATATAATGTCCTTACCTTTTAAAGACTTATAATTAATATTACAGTGTAGCACATTAAAAAAAGAATAATAATACATTTGAAAAAAGAAAATAACTAATGAAATGAAATAAACTCGAACCCAGTCAGAGCGTCAGAACAGAGAGGCACATTAATACAGAAGTAGATTTAAAGGAGCGAGTCCACAGATTGTAGACGAAGTAATGCACCGACAATATCTTCAATAACAGTCCGAGTTCTGTAGAGCTGGAAGGCCGAGTGCAAGAACCGGCTCCTTCTCCAGACCAAACGCCTCTTTTATCAAGGAGCGGTTGTACAGGTGTCAGCGCCCTCTGGAACTCCGACTATCCTCACGTTATTGCGCCGTGACTCGACTCCAAATCCTCCCATTAATTCTCTAATTGAGTCACGGTCGCAGTGAGAGACTCGATAGTAGTCTTCATGTGAACTATATCATCGGTGCAACTGGAGAGTTCGTGCCCCATTTCCCCCACAGAACCTTTCAGTGTTGATGTGGTGGCATCGGTAGCAATTTTATCACTAGCCTGCTGTGTTCTCATGACCTGCAGGTTAAGCTGGATAGTAGACAGCGCTTCCCAGAGAGTCTCCTGAAGATTCTGGAACTCCTTTTTAAAAATATCAGGGCTCAGTTTTGTCTGAATGTTAACACCGGTTAAGTTCCTCCCAGACATTTTAACAAACCATCGAGTTAAAAGTGCAAATAAGGAAGCGAAGTAGAATAAGTCAAATATATTATATGACCAAAAAAGTGCTAATTAATTACAATTTTAATCGAGATCAGCAGGAGACTCAAACTTCGCGTCTTACTCCATCGAACACCGAATTCAAACGAAAAAACAAGACATTTTTAATCTGAGACAAGAGGGAAAACCCTCTGAGTTTGAGAGCAGATTGGAATTCCCAAAGAAATATAGAGATGAGCCACAAAAGTGATGGAAAAAGAAAGGATCTGCTCATGATCCAAAAAATACAAGCTCATCAGTCAAGCATGGTGGAGGTAGTGTAATGGCTTGGGCTTGGATGGCAGCTTCTGGAAAAGGCTCACTAATCTTTATTGATGATCTAACTCATGATGGTGGCAGCAGAATGAATTTCTAATTTGCAAAGAAATACATCCAATCTAACTGGAATGAACTACATCATTCAGTGAGGTAACAACCCAAAACACACCGCCAACACAACAAAAGACCTTCATCAGGGGGAAATTTGGGAGGTTTCAGACTGGTCGTGTTAATCACCAGACTTTAACTCAGTTGAGCAGCAGTTCACCTCCTGAAGAGGAGACTGGAGGAAGAAGCACCACGAAACAAACAACAGCTGAAAGAGGCTGCAGAACTCGCCAGGAAAAGAACATAAAAGAAGAATGCAACAGTTTGATGATGCCAGCGGGTCAACGGCTTGATGCAGTTATTGCAAGCAAAATATTAGGTGTTATTTAGGACTATCGATTCCAATACTTTTGCTCTCCTAAAAATGGGGTGGTCTGCCCCCAGCAGTGCAATGTTCGAGGTTGTTTAACACATCTAGATGTAAATATCAGGAAATGAACTCTGAAATTCTAGTTTACAGTCTCATTCATCTTTTGATCTCGAATCTAAATGCCTTCAATACTGTATAGAGAAAATAGGGTTTTTTTTTTCCTTCCCAGTGTGGACTGTACATAAACTAAATATTCTTAAAATCAAAACATTTCATTTTATTGCATCTCTTTGGTACATGCTTATTTCACATAAAACTCCAAAATCATCAAATCTTTAAAAAATATTTAATAAGAAAACTAAGAATCCATTATTACACACACACACACACGCACACAAATCAGACCTCTGAACACCTCATCTCATTAGCCTTAGAGACAAATTAAGCGAGGGAGCCTTTCCACCTCTCCCTCACTCAGTCCACCTGTGTCCACAGTGTGGAGCCGTACACACGTAGTACAGCCTCATTGCATCCTACAACACACAAAACACATAATAGCTCAAATTAAACGCTAGGCATTTTGGAACGTATGAGTACAGGTGCAGTATGACACTGAGCGGTTCGACTAAATCAGTGGTGTCGAACTCATTTTAGTTCAGGGGCCACATACAGCCTAATTAGATGTCAAGTGGGCCGGACCAGTGAAATCATAGTATAATCACCTATAAATAACAAGAACTCCATGTTATTACCTTTGTTTTCATGCAAAGACATTTATATATTTAATGAAATATCCTTTTATAAAATATATCATGAACAATCTAAGATTTCTTAAGACAAACACGTGCAATTTGCTTCTGATTATCATTCACATATATGTGCATTACAACTGCTCAGTGTTTGCAGAAATGCAAAAAAAACTTCACAGGTATTTGGAACTGTAAAATATAGTATTTCACTTTAAAATTGATGTCATTGCATGAACAATAGGATTCCACCAAACCAAACTCTTTTGTACTGAAGCTGTTGATTAACATTAAATTGCACTTTTTTTTTTAAACTATTACCCATTCATCTCTGTGGATAAATAGGAAGCGGTCCATTTTTCATGGAAAACTCTACACTCTGTATCCACTTTTCTGCTTTTTGTCAGACATTTAGTCTAATGAGGGTGTGGGGACGAGTAGAAAATAGAGTAGACTACTCCGTGATGACAAACAGCAGACGTCGCAATGCTGCCATCTGCTGTTCAGTCCCAGAAATGTGCCGCGTCTTTTGCCCCCTAGCGGATAATTTAGGAATAGCATTTTATTAAAAATGACAAGTTCGTGTCTTTTATGCATATTTTTATTCACTTTCGAAATTCGTCCTGCGGACCGGATTGAACCCTCTAGCGGGGGCCGTACGTTTGACACCCATGGACTAATATGTCGCTCTACACATCCCATCTGCATTGTGTTATGGCTGTATAACTGTACATGCCATGTTGTTATTCATTATGTAATTGTGTGTTTTGGCATTTTGTACCTCAGCCTTCATGCTGTGTGACTGGAAGAACACCGCCTCCTTGTGGCCACATCTGTGAACGAGAAAACACAATACAAGGCTTAGTAATGTGAGTGCTCACACACTCCACATCTGCACTGATGAGCAGCGCTCTATGTCTATACAGTGGGGGAAATAAGTATTGAACAACATTTCTTTCAGTAAATATATTTCCAATGAGGCTATTCACATGAAATTTTCATCAGGATTAGCTCAAGAAATCCGCAACTATAAAGAATTCACAACATTAAAGTCTATAAATAAAGTTGTGTGTAATAAAGTGGACTGACACAGGAAAAAAGTATTGAACACACTAAGAAAAAGCAGTTCTCCAAGGCAAGGAACCAGCTGAAATGCATAAGTAATTATCCCTCCTCTCTGTGCAAATTAAAAGAAGATGGGTTAGTAAACTGATGGCCTATAAAAAGGCTTTTCGTTACCAAGGTGTCACACGATAAACAGCTCATGATGGGTAAAAGCAAAGAGCTCTCCCAAGACCTTTTGACACATTCAGTACTTATTTCCCTGACTGTGTGTGTGTGTGTGTATATATATATATATATATATATATATATATATATATATATATATATATATATATATATAAAATTTGCAATGAATGCTATATGTTTACTAATTGTTGTTTCTGTGTGTGTGTGTGTGTGTGTGTGTGTGTGTGTGTGTGTGTGTAGCATTCACTTAGGGCACG